TTTTTTTTTTTTTTCCTCTTTTAATAATCTTTAAGTCTGAGTGGTGTCGATTGATATGCTCTAAATTTTATGGCACGTTCTGGCAAGATAACGTCTCAAAATGTTTATGGTAAATGATAAATATTCAATCACCTATCAATATTGTTTTTTTTTGTTTTTTAATATCTGATTGGCGTCCATGTGCCGCTTGCTTCGTCTCGTCTGTAATAATGCGGACGATTATCACGAAAAACCGTTACAGCCGGAAATGGATGATCTTGTATGTATTTCAAAGTTGCACGTATCTGAAATATATCATTTCAATCATTTCATTTTGCTACGAGAATTCCCGGGGGAATCAATTCGGTTAAGGATTCGCACCTGCGTCACGAAATGCGGCGGCTCAACTTCCGGACTCGTAGACAAATGCTGGAGTATAAAATCATCGGATTGCTGGAGCCAAAGATCGACTCCTCTCAATGGTTCGTAATTAAAAGGCCCTATTCTCAATAGACCGAGTTCGTAATCGTAAACGTCGAGAACTTGTTGACCTCCCGTAAGATGTCGCGCCCATCTTAAAGCGGGATCCGGTCCTGAATGAGAAAAAAATAAATAAAATCGTGATTGATTTTTTTTCCATTTTCGTTAAGTTTTCACTCACTACCACTACTACTACTACTACCTTTATCGGGAAAAGTTGCAGGAAATATTTCTCCAGTCTTAACGTTGACTCCGACTCCGTAAATTATCGGCCAATGTATTCCTCCACGTATTGTCGTATTTAATTCTCCTACGCAGGCTGTTGTTAAATCTACTTCTATCGGTTGCTTGTGAAAAGCATCTGCGAAGAGACAGACCATAAAAAAAAAAAAAAAAAAAAAAAAACAAAATAATGGTCGGTTAGGTTAATTTTTGCTACTTATTATAAATTATCATTCGGAGTAGTTGTGCGGTTGTTTGTTTGTTTAAAAAAAAAAAAGAGGGAAAAAAAGACATTAAAAGAAGGTCGAGGCCAATCGTGGATGGCAACCCAAAAGATTCATCCGACAGATTTAACTTTAATCGTTGGACCCTAAAAAGTTATCTCAAAACTTGATAATTTTGGGTTACCAAAAAGGTTATCAATCATCATTTTTTTTTTCCTTTTTTTTTTTTATAAAATTTATTTATACAAAGTAATTAAAAAAAATAAATATTTCCATTATTATGCTGCGTCCATCTTTTTCTTCCTCTACCCCCTCTACCCCCAAACTTATTTCATCCTGTCTTTTTTTCTCTCTCTCCAATTTTCTTTCGCTTTTTTTTTTCTTTTGGGGGGGGGGGACAGGTACGAGTACTTACGCATTATACT